GAGTGTCCACAGCCTGTCCCGTCACAGTTACAGTTACAGCCGGCCTCCCCACTGCCCGCTCCTTCTCCCTACACTGGTCCTACTGGAGGTCTTGCTGAGCGTCGTGAGCCTGCGTCTCGCCCAGCGTCGCCTGTCCGTGCTGCTCGCACTAGTGGTCGTGGTTCGCGTCAGCGTCCTCCTCCTGTCCCTGGCACGCACCGGATGTCTCTGCGTCCGTCCACTGCTCCTCTGCGTGCCCCTTTGCCTTCTCCTCCTGAGTCCTCTCTTCCTGCTCTTCCTGACCCGGAGTCGGACTCTCTTCGTGCTGCCAGTCCTACTGTCACGCGTCTCCTTGCTACTGTTGTCACTGACCCTTCCTTTGAGTCCACTGCTGCGTCTGCCCTAGTTACTGAGCTCGTCGACTTTGCTGCTCGCTGTCGTCTAGACTACGCTGCTAGTCTTGTTGCTGAGTCTGAGTCTGTCTGTCCTCCGTCCGTCGGGGGTGAGTGTGCCCTTGGCACGGACGTCCTTGAGGACAGGCAGGAGGAGTTCCAGTGTTTGGCTGCTGCTTCACCTCATCTCGTGTCCGTACTGCTTACCCCTGAGGGAGACCCGGATGCACTTGACATCCCGACTCCGCGCTCTTACGCGGAGGCGATAGAGGGTCCCTACTCCTCTCAGTGGCAGGCAGCTATGGACGCAGAGATGGCTTCCTGGAAGTCCACAGGCACCTACGTTGACGAGGTTCCCCCGCCTGGGGCGAACATCGTCAGTGGCATGTGGATTTTCAGGGTGAAGCGGCCGCCGGGTTCTCCGCCTGTCTTCAAGGCGCGTTACGTGGCTCGTGGCTTCAGTCAGCGGCAGGGAGTTGACTACTTTCAGACCTTCTCTCCCACCCCGAAGATGACCACTCTTCGGGTACTGCTGCACATAGCTGCTCACCGCGACTACGAGCTGCACTCTCTTGACTTCAGCACTGCTTTCTTGCAGGGCAGCCTGCACGAGGAGATCTGGCTGCGTCGCCCACCTGGCTTCACTGGGTCTTTTCCTCCTGGCACCCAGTGGAGCCTCCGGCGGCCAGTCTACGGTCTCCGCCAGGCACCGCGTGAGTGGCACGACACACTGAGGACTACACTTGCGGCTCTTGGGTTTGCTCCCTCTACTGCCGACCCGTCGCTGTTTCTGCGCACCGACACTTCTTTGCCGCCGTTCTACATCCTCGTGTACGTCGACGACTTGGTCTTCGCCACAGCTGACACTGCTGGACTCGCCCACGTGAAGTCCGAGCTGCAGAAGAGACACACGTGCACAGACCTGGGTGAACTGCGCAGCTACCTTGGCTTGCAGATCACCCGGGACAGAGCACGCCGCACCATTACCCTGACTCAGTCACACATGGTGCAGCAGGTCCTTCAGCGCTTCGGCTTCACGTACTCCTCGCCTCAGGCCACTCCTCTGCCTACTCGCCACTCGCTCTCAGCTCTGCCTTCGGATGAGTCCGTAGAGTCGAGTGGCCCGTACCCAGAGCTTGTTGGCTGCCTCATGTACCTGATGACCTGCACACGACCTGACCTTGCATACCCTCTTAGCATTCTTGCACGCTATGTTGCTCCTGGGAGACACAGACCGGAGCACATGGCTGCAGCGAAGAGGGTGTTGCGCTACTTGTGCAGTACGTCGGGCATGGGGCTTGTGCTTGGAGGGCAGAGTCCAGTGGTCCTCACTGGGCACGCAGACGCTTCTTGGGCTGACGACCAGGCTACGCAGCGGTCGTCACAGGGTTACACCTTCAGCCTTGGTTCCGGCTCTGTTTCGTGGCGGGCTACCCGCTCGTCTTCTGTTCTCGGCTCCAGTTGTGAGGCTGAGATCTACGCCGGGGCCATGGCTGCACAGGAGCTTCGCTGGCTCACCTACCTGCTGACTGACCTCGGAGAGCCGCCTCGTTCTCCTCCAGTGCTGTACGTAGACAACAAGGCCATGCTGGCCTTGTGTCGAGAGCAGAGACTGGAGCACAGAACGAAGCACATTGCTCTCCGCTACTTCCTTGCTCGTGAGCTACAGCAGCGTGGTCAGCTGCGGCTTGCGTACGTGGCCTCTGAGGCCAACACTGCTGATATCTTCACCAAGGCACTTGCGCCTTGTGATCATCAGCGCTTCTGTACTCAGCTGGGTCTTGTGCCTACCTTGCCTCACTTGCTCACCCCTTGACCTTGTTTGTACTGTTGCATATATATATACACCTGCTCTTGCTTGTCTAGCCTTATACATATATGTAATCCTGCATGTGAACTGGCCTTGTGGCCTTGAACTTGTGCTCGGAATGTGTGGTGACTTTGTGATCCACCCTGAGCTTGCTTTGCTTTGCTTGACTGGTCTTGTGACCCCTTGTTCTCCCCCACTTTGCCTATGGGGGTGTGTCAGATTTATATGACATAGCTACTGTAGGCTATAGTGGGGTAGCACATATGGGGTACAGTTTTCTAGGGTTTGCTTTTGTACCCAACTTTCCCTTAGTCAATTCTTTCCTCATTTCTTCACAGCGGCCTATGCTCAAGCCCCGGTGGACCCTTGGGAGCCGAGCCTAGGGGACCTCTACCAGGTGCTTGAGGACGACATGGGGGTGGGCTAGACTATGGAGATAGGGGATGCGGAGTGAGGGGTGTAGAGTTGGAGGCAAGGATAGTTCAGATAGTTATTTCAAGGTGTCCTCTCGGCCTGCCACTCATTGGCCTAGCTCTCTATGTTCTGGCATACCTGTTGGTGCTCGTTTGCTTCTCAACCTGTTTGCTTGCTTGCCTAGGTCTTGCATACCTGTTAGCACCCGCCCCTGCCATGCCTGTACCTTATGAACCATATCAATGAAGGACCGCTTGAGAGAGAGAGAGAGAGAGAGAGAGAGAGAGAGAGAGAGAGAGAGAGAGAGAGAGAGAGAGAGAGAGAGAGAGAGAGAGGTTCGCATTTTCTGGTTTCCTTGTCTATTCTCTATCCGTTGTATCTAGGCGTCATTGTTCCTCGTCGCGCGCACACACCGGGCATCCACTGCGGGGGTTAAACTGCAGGCGGGCAAGCCTCCGTAACCGGCGGTGGGCCCAGCTGTCGGCACAGTGATTCTTGTCTTTCGATGAGCCCCTACACTAGCTACACTTGCATGCAATTAAGGGGGAAAGTCATAATATAACATGCATCGCTAGTTAGTGTAGTATCACCCTATCTTGTCGTTAGGTGGTCTGCCTCCCTTCACCACCTCCCATCTCTTATATCTTGTACTCGCATTCTATAGTTCAACCCCCTTTCTTGGCCAAACTCTCTCTTCACACATTGCTTGCCTCAAAACCCTAAGCTACTATGTTTGACAGTATGCATAGACAGAAAAATATCGAAGGATGACCATGGTGATGCCGAAACGAGGTCACCCTCCGTATTGTTAGGCTCCACTACAACATGTCATTGATCGACTGTCCGCAAGAGCATTGACTTGCGACGGCTATGTGGGGAATTAGGCAACTGAGGCATAAAAACTTCCTCTCCGCCTCTAGAATGCGCAGGAAATCAGCCTAAGGCACTGTTAGACCCAATGCGCATGCAGCTAAAAGTAGGGTTGAGTCTGGTGAACGATAGAATGTTTTCCTTCCCCATTATAAGAAAAGACTCTACAAGAATCAGCCGATTTAGCTCAGTGGTAGAGCGCGTGGCTTTTAACCACGTGGCCGTGGGTTCGATCCCCACAATCGGCGATAATTGGTGGCATTATCGGTCCTCTATGGGAAAACACTGTTTTATCGTGTTGGTTCGTCAACGCTGCTGTGCACCCTTCCGCGATGTGTAGTTACGCAGTTTCGTTTCCGTGGCTTCGACTTCGCGGAAGTCGCCATCGCCAATCTTCTCACACCTCCTTCCAGTTGTCGTGTGCATGACGGCTTCAGCTCACTTGGCCTTCATCCAATGGATCACAAGTGGAGTGGACGCTGGTAAACTCGGCCCTTTCACAGAGTTTTTACACGATAACAGTGATCCTTAGTGCGGTGTAGTGCGGTACGTTCAAATGGAAGCTCAAGAAGCCTTGCCCATCATCATCAACTTCGAGTGCATCTGCTGGTGGGGTGTTCGGTTGTTATCAGCAATCTGGGATTCTTTGTGCTGCTGGATTTGTGCTCGCCATCACTTTCACGCGTATTGTTTTGATTGTTTGGTCACCGACCGGAACCATCAGCGATGTTGAAGCGGAAGCGAGCTGTTCTCGTTATTGACCCGGAGGACCTATCTGACGGTAGATCTGAGTCCGATTCAGTACATGGCGACACGTCAGACAGCGATTTTCGCTTACACGAGGATGGCGCGGCCAACGACACGTCATCTCGCGACCGTTTCCCGCAGGAGCCTTCGCGACGGAAATGCGACGACGACATTCCCGCAGGAGCCTCGGCGCGGGAAGTTGACGGCCATGCGAAAGCTGATAGCGGTTTCCGTTTTCAGAAGACTGACGGTCGTTCGAACGTCGTTACCAGGCCTGACTTGGAATCAATCGACAGGACGAAGAGCAGTGGTGCGATTAGAGCGAATAATGCGACTGAAGCAACTGACGCGACTGAGTTGGTGAAAGAACAAGGAGGGCCGGTTTTGGCTGTCCAGTCAGCAGGAGGAGAAGACGCGACTCCGCCAGAGGCGGAAATGGACGACCTGGATGCGCTCGCGGGTGAGCGGGTAACCAGCCTCCAGGTCGACCTTGAACTGGTGACGACCTTGGGGGTGTTAGAGCATGATAAAGAATGATACAGAATATCTCTCCTGGCGCGAGATGAGTCAGGTAGGCTAAGGTGTGAACATGAACAATATGTAGTCGCCAAATCACCAAGAGCTGTCAACTCACCATGCCATGATTTTTCTGTTGCAACGCGTTCTTTCCACCTCGCCTCCTCTCCCCCTCACCTCCTTCCCCCCTCATTTGCTCCCCCCTTCACCTCCTTTCCCTCTCACTTTCTTTCCCCCTTGCCTTCCCCCCTCCCCCCCCCCCCCCCGTGTAGCGGACATTCCTTGCGACACGCTTGCAGCCGTTCATTTCCTCCGCGCCTCCTTCCCTCCATCACTCTCCAAGGTACCTCCTTCCCCCTATCATTCTCTGATGTACTAGTTTCATTTCATTGCATCTGTTGTGGCACTTCTCCTTTCTGTGGACCTACCATTCGCAGGTCGCTTCTACCGGTAAGCCCGACTTACTCACTGACTGACTGGCCTTCTCTCTTTGCTCTTTGCTCGTCATTCCTCCCCCTTGCAGGTCGCATCCTCCCTACCTCCCTTCGCCCTTCTCTCCCAAATCTACACCGTGGTACCGCACCGAACCACTGTGGACCGAGAGCTTGAGGTCAGAAAGCCCCGATTCTGTGCCCTGTTATACCTCCTCAGGCTGGTTCCTTCACCCTTCTTTTCCTCGCTGTTTTCCTCCCTGCTTTTGCTTCCTGATGCCTTGCCGTGTTCTCCTCCCCTCGTTCCCCTTTCTCTCCTCCCCGCTTCTCCTCCGCTCTGTTCCTTCCCGTGGATCCCCCACTTATCCCATTCCAGGGCTGGTTGTGGATGCTGCAGAGGAACATGCCAGCGTGGTTCATCTGCCTCATGTCATTTCAAATTAACCCTGCAGTGCTGGCACAGATTAGCAAGGAGATTGTGCCTCACAGTCCACAGTTGCTTGTTTTCAACTCCAGATGCTGCAAAGGAGTGGGTCGGTGCGGGTAATTCGCCTCATGTCGGCTCGAACTGACATTGCTGTGCTGTTGTCTCAGGACTACGCCCAAGTGGTGAGAGCATCACTGCTATGCTTCTTGCCTGGAAACCCAATGTCTTTATGAAGAGTGGGTCGGTGCGTGTGATTCGCCTCATGTCATTGCGGACCGACATTGCCGTGCTCCTGCCTCAGGACTATGACCAAGTGGTGAGAGCATCGCTGTTATGTTTCTTGCCTGAGAAACCAATGTCTCTCTCAAAGGGCCTGCCTATGCTGCTGCTGGGAAATACTTGGATGAAACGACTCAACCATCGGTACCAACGGATATCTTTTTTCGTGTGCGTCATCGTCATCATCATTAACATCCACCATCATCATCATTGTTTGCAGGTTGAAGCTGCCAGGCAACAGTTTCTTCAGCGCGCGTCAAGTCATGCTGGCAATATAGCCCCCCTCGCACAGAAGGGTGATAGCAGCAGCAGAGGGAACAGCGGGGGTTATAGGAACAAGTCCAGCTACAGGCAGGAAAACAGCAGGCGAAAGCGCGGTACAAGTGAAACTGAGAGCAGCCAGGTGGCAGTTTTTTATTGGTTCAGAGACCGGGTTCTTCCACAGTGTACTGAGCATGGCATATCAAGGCAACAGCTGGTGAGTCCTTCAAGGAAAATGCACACATTCTTTTCGAAATTGGTAACAGGATCCGTGTACTTATTGTTTCTGTGCTCCTTTTTTGCTCTCTCCACAGGAACGCCTCTTATCGAATGCTGGCAAATCACGCGTGACAGACAGTCACATCTGCATTCTCGTGCAAGCAGGGTTGCTGGTAGGCATCTATTCTTCCTCCCCTTCTGCTTGTCTGCGTTGCACATACTTTTTAGACACCTCAGATTGTGGGTATAGAGATGGATTTTGAGGCGCCTCTAAAGCAGGGTTGCTGGTAGGCATCTGTTCTTCCTCCCCTTCTGCTTGTCTGCGTTGCATAGGCTCTCGCCAACCTTCTTGGTTTACACTTACTTAGCGGGTTGCAACCATTGTATGCTTAAGTCAAGATTCTCAAATGCGTGTGTGTCTGCCACCAACCTTCTACCCTAAACTGTGTGTCTCCTGGCCTTGTGTCTTTCTCTCCCAACAACAGGTTGCACAGGTGGCACATGTTGATTCGTACTGGTTCTCGCTTCCTAACATTGGCTCATTCACCCAGCATCTTACCAAGGTGAGTCTTACCAAGATGAGGCTACTCTGATTGCGCTCATGATATTTTGTTCGAATTTGTCTATTCTCCCATCTACAGGTTTCTCTGCAAGATGACATATTTCCTGATTTTTTCTTCAGGGACGGTCTGAGATCATTGGTTTGTTACAGCACAGCAGGTTCGGTGAGATGTTAAAATCGAAGTTGGAGGTCCGAAAGAAGCACAAAGCTGTAATTCCTGTCTCCTTCATACTTCGGGACCTTATGGGCCAAGGTAGAATAACGAGACGTGACAGCACAGTTGGTGAAGTATTGAGGCTTTGTAATTGGACCAGGAGGTGATGAAATCATGTAACATGTAATCATGTTCCTATATTATACTAATGATGGGTGATGTGAGTACAAATCTACGTCGTTCCCGTAACAACCAGATGCGGTGTACGTACAATGTCGCCTTGGCTGTGGTGGATTTCATCAAATATTTCGTTCTCGCGCCAAGCACTGTGTGACAGCACCAGCTGTACAAATGTTTTCGTCCACCAAAAGCGGGGGAACGAGCGAATTCACTCGTGCCAGTGCCCCTGCCCGCGTTTGCGATTGGTCCACCCGAAATTTCACCGAAGATCGTCGTCGTACAGACGCGTGGTAAAATCGCAACACCGACTAGACCGAAGTTTGTGCGACGTCGCCCCTCGCCAATCTGCTTATCGTTGGAAGCGCGAGAATTTGTTCGCACACATCCCTCGCGCGGTCCGTGTTAGCGCGCTTCGATTTCCCAATGCCCAAGAAATTTCCCAATGCGGAAGTGCGCTCTCTTCCTCCCCTACCCTCTCTTGGTCTCGCTACCTGCCCAGAACATTGATAAGCTCTGGAGAACTATCGGAATCAAGGATAGTCTCGTTCCCTGAAGCCTGTGTGTTAGCGATTCCCTCGTCGACGAATCTGCCGTCCAGTCCACCCTTTGAATTTCAATAAAACCACTTTGTTTATCGTTCATCTGCCGTGCGTTATCGAATCTCCACGACAACAGTTGAGAATCATGGGGATTCGTAAAGTAGCCATCTTGGCCGCTCCACTCCCCTTACTCTCTCTCCTCCTTGCCACCCTCGCCTCGCAAGCTTCGGCACGAGGCCTTCAACTGCGACACGACTGGTCCGCGATGTTTAGAGGTTCGGCGAAACCAGTCGCACACCACCGGGACGACGAGCCCGAATGGGAGGGCCTTGTCATTCCGCGACGAATGTTACAACTCGCAACGACTTTGGCGACGGAAACGCCTGAACATAAAGCCTCACGAATGGCTGCGAAGAAGGCGCAGAAGGAGGAGCAGCAGAAGCGGCATGCGGCCATGCAGGCAGCGAGGGACAAGAAGAAGGAAGAGCAGGAAGAGCGTAAAGAGGCGAAAGCTGCGAGGGATGCAGCGAAAAAATCAAAGTCGCCTTCTTCGCCACCGAAACCAGCCAAGTCGCCCAAGTCGCCATCACCTCCCAAGAAATCGCCATCTCCCTCTCCCGTGCCGCCCAAGAAGTCACCGTCACCGTCTCCTCCGAAATCTCCCGTTAAGCCGACAACTCCCACTCCTTCCACGCCAAAGCCGACTACTCCGTCAACTCCTTCGACTCCGTCAAAGGGTTCCGTCAACCCTGCTGACGTGTCCGTCATCGCGAATCTCCAGGCGGCGGCAACGTTAACGGCGGACGCGGCCGACCTGCTGACGCCCAAAAACCAGTACTACGCGAATCTAAAGAGCACCGAGCAGGCTCTTCAGAACGCGGTGATTCTAATCAACCAGGGTCAGCGCGCGCTGGTGGCGACGCAGGTTGACAACTCCGTCGCGACACTTAACGGCGTGTCGGTGATGCTTAACAAAGTGACGTACAAAGACGCGTTGGACCTCATTAACCAGGCGAAAACCAAGGCTACTACTGCCAAAACGGACTTCAAACCGTAAGGTAATGGGCGAAACGGATAATGAGGAAAAACGGGAGCGACAATGAGCGTGTGATGAGTGATCAGGGAGGTACCGGGAGGAATTAGAAGGTAGTGAATGAAGAACGAGCCGCGCGATGGATTAAGTAGGTTAGAAGCTATCCACTATTTCTCGTGGATTGGTAGATTGACCTTGGGTCTTGTGTCTCTCTATTCTGCGTGATTCATAGCATCACCATTTTCCAATTCAGTGCATCCGAGAACCAAGGCAGGAATAAAGTTCAGCATACTAAGACGCATGTATTTAGCACGCACAAAGTAAAGGAGCACACACACAAACAAAAGGCGCTCACACAGTTCTACCATCAAAACTTCACTCTAGCACTGCTGCGTTTTCAACCACGAGTGACGGAAGAAAGAGTTCCATGTGCCAGATATATTTCCATTCATCAAGCAACAATATATCTATCTCCATATATATGTGCTTGCCAACCCTCCAATCATACAACTCTCTCCACGTGCTGCTCTACAACTCTGTACCATTCCCTCCTGCACCCCGCCTGTCCACTCGTTCTGGGATCTCCTGCCTGTTCCCTGGCTTTCATTTACGCCTTCCCCTGTTTCCGCCCCCCCCCCCTGTTTTCACCCCGCCCTTCTCATTCTCATGCAATCAGCTGCTTGTGAAACAGGAAAGCACGCAATTCTGCAAGAATCCAAGCATGCATACATACCCACAGAGTAATGTTTCCCCCCTCCCCACATCTTCCCCGCTTACCAGCCTACCCCTGTCTCATGCTTCCCCTCGCCCCCTTTCCCTCTCCATCCCTTTACGGCACGAAGAGCTGCATGTTGGGTGCAAGAGTGGCATCGGAGCACAAACCCATGGTTGAGATCGCGCATCATGGCAGCCGACCCGGTCGAGAGGCCCCCACCCCCACACATGGCAGCTGATCCGCGGAAGAAGTTGTAAGCGAGCCCCTCGCACGTGTCCCCCCCTCCCCCTCCCCCCTCAGCCTCCCCCGCCTGCCCTTACGGCACAAACAGCTGCATGTTTGGCGTGAGAGCGGCATCGGAGCACTCAAACCCGTGGTTGAGATCGCGCATCATGGCAAGCGATCCGCGGAAGAAGCTGTAAGCGAGCCCCTCGCACGTGTCCCCGTCCTTCACCACATACATGCTCGTGGCCTTCAGGCCGTGACTCCAGTCCACCCCTCCCTCCTCTCCCATCCCCTCTCCACTGCCACCAGCAGCGCCAGCACCATTGCCAGCACCACCAGCACCAGAGCCATGGCCTTGGGTTGTTACAGCAGCGTCAGTGGCCTGAACACGTTTCATCTGAACCCTCGTGCCATCCTCCCCTCCATCAATTCCCTTGAGTATAATCCGTGCTTCTTCCAACGTGTCCACACTCACCTTCTTAGCCCTCTCCGGCTCTGCCCCTGCCCCTGCACCTGCCCCTGCCCCTGCCGCTGCCCCTTCCCCTGCCCCTGCCCCTTCCCCTTCTCCTGCCCCTGCCCCTGCTCCTGCCCCTGCGCCTTCTCCTGTCCCTGCCCCTGCCCCTGCCCCTGCCCGCCCCCCTGCTCCTGTCTTTCCGTCTGCCCCTGTCCCTGCGCCTGCCCCCGCAGTTGCGTTTGAAACCGAGCCAGTGCCATCTGCTGGCCCTTCTATTGGGCCAGCCACACCTGCTCCTGTGGCTGGCCCTGCTCCTGCTCCTGTCTTTGCCTCTGTCCCTGCCCCTGCTCCTGTCCCTGTCCCTGCGCCTGCCCCCGCAGTTTCGTTTGAAACCGAGCCAGCACCATCGTCAGGGCCATCTGCTGGCCCGGCTATTGGGCCAGTCTCACCTGCAGCGATCGGAACAGGCCCAGTCTCCTCTGCTGCGTCAGAAACAGTTTGAGCCTTTGCCGTTATACCAGACGCATCCTCCTCCTCACTCCCATCCCCTTCCTCACTCCCATCCCCTTCCTCACTCCCATCCCCTTCCTCACTCCCATCCCCTTCCTCACTCCCATCCCCTTCCTCACTCCCATCCCCTTCCTCACTCCCGTCTCTCTCCGCATGTTCATCATCCTCCTCCCTCTCCTCACTCTCACCCCCCTCCCCAATCCCTTCACTCTCCTCACTCCCAACCCCCTCCTCACTCCTCTCAATCTCTTCAATTCCATCACTTGAAACACCTTGAGTACTAATATCAGCCCTGGGGGCTGCATGGATAGGGGCGGTAACTGTTCGATAGTGACGCGTACGGAGAGTTGGAGATACGCTGGGAGTGGAAAAGCCAGGATTTGAACCCGCGTCTCCAAGTTCACCATCAGCTGCTTCGGTTGCCTCTTTCACCAAGCCTGGACCAACACGAACCTGGACACCACTGTGCTGGCCCTGCTGCTGCTGCCCGGACCAAGGCTCGCTCGCAGGCTCGGCAAAGTTCGAAGCTGACGCTGGCTCAAGCTCGTAGACCATATCCGTACCCGCCGGACCTATTGCACGGAGCCTGGCTGGGTGTGAATCGGAGTTGGAGAATTTGTGATCGCTTCCCTGCCACTTCACCACGTCATTTGGACCCCAAGTGTACGCGATATTGCGACTTCGAGGTCCGTTATTGTGATTTCGCGACACACCACTGTATCGCAACTGAGGCGCAGACACCCGCGTCTGATATTTCGGTCTTCCTGATTCTGAAAAAACCTGCTGCGACGGATAGAAAGAGGATCCTGCGACAGGCCGGCGGCTGCTTCGATGATGTCGCCCGCTTGTTGTCGTCGCCCGGCTGTCGCCGCGACGATGTCGCCCGCCAGTCGCCCAGCTCGGGGCGCCGAGTTCGAATACAGCTGGCTCGTCGTATGCGTCCGCGTGCGACGTCTGTCGCTGCCGCATCTGTCGCCTTGCTCGCGAGGGCGAAGATGGAGTCGCTAGGGCCGCTGTGCGAGATTTGTCCCTCGCGTGGTTCCACGTCAGCACACGAATCTTACGTGGAGTTCCAGCAGGGCTCGCCTTCACAGTGACAGAATCAGCGGTATTTTCGTAACCTGGTTTCGCCTGGTTTTCGAATCCTGCCGCGTTTTCCTCGCCATGCCTCAGCATAACCGGGTAACGTTG